TGGTGTGTGTGGTCCCTCTCAGACCTCCTGCCTCTCGCTGGTGTGTGTGGTGCTGCTCACAGAGGCACACCAGACATGCCATAGCTGACCTTTTTCCCTGTTCTTGCTGCCGAATGACAGATGTGAGCCTAACCCTGCTGGTTGAGTCGCTGAGTATTATTAGTAGTATTGTTGTTAGTATTGAGCTGTCAGGGAACATGGCCTCTGTAAAAGGAACAGGCCTGCCTCCCCCTGTATTTTTCTTAGTATTATTAGTAGTATTGTTGTTAGTATTGAGCTGTCAGGGAATATGACCTCTGTAAAGGGAACAGGCCTGCCTCCTCCTGTATTATTATTAGTATTATTATTATTATTGTTCTTAGTATTGACCTGTCGTGGCTTCCTCTGGGCTGCCTCATACAGTCCAAAAACACTCAGTCCAGGTAAATTAATGATTGACCATAGTGTGTGTGTGTGTGTGTGTGTGTGTGTGTGTGTGTGTGTGTGATGTGTGTGTGTGTGTGAGTGAGAGAGAGCGGGTATACCTTGCCTTATGGGGACACAATGTCGCCACAAAATGATGAATACCCAATCTGTGACTGCAATGAAAAAACTAAAAATGCAAAAACTCTTGTATTTTGCTTGGTTACTTATGGTTATGCTTAGGGCTGGGTAGGGGTTATGGTTGTCATAGTTAGCATTAGCATTTTTCCCATAGAAATGAATGCAGTCCCCATAAAGATATGCTTACCCAACATGGGTGCGTGCCTTTTGATGGAACAATTCCTTCCTGGGTGAGTCCTATTTTGGAAAAGTCATCTGTGTGCTGACCGAATTTCTTGCGCTTTTATTCTTCCAAAGCTTTGGTCAAACTTCTGAACATGGACCTTTTCCCACTTGTCATTCCTGTCCATCTTTGCAGCTTAAGTTTGTTTTTACTGACCTTTTGTTAAAGCTGATTTGTTGCTGGTGACGGTTGCTGACATCGTATTCCATGCATTTCTGTCTTTATACGAATAAAGAACCTGCTGTCTGATCACCGCCTGGAATTCATGTCCTTTTTGTTTGCTGATAAATGTAAGAATTTAATCTTTAAAGTCCCAGAGTACGGATTACATGTAAGGCGCTGTTGTTAAAAGGTGTGGAAATGATTCGACCAGCAAAACGACACGGGCTAATTTGCCTGAAATGCTGTAAGCAGCGAATGCATGACCTGAGCACTGCAGACTCCTACCAGAGACGGTGAAGGAATCGGCGTCGGACAGAGCGGCCAGCGGAGCCAAAACACATGGTGGGAAAGCACCTGCTCTTCCCACGGGCAACGCAAACGGCCAGGCGGCCTGGCGGGCAACGTGCATGCTGAAGGTCACGTGACTCCAG